TCGAACTTACGCCAGCGAGGCAAAGGCTTTAGTACAGTCAACGCTCTACCCGACTGAGCTACGAGGCTCCCAACGGGGGCCGTGAGTTTAAGCACATTTAAGTCAATTTACCCGTCCAGCCTATTACAACGTATCGAATCCGCCAATTCTTGTACAATAAACTGACTACCCAAGCAGGATTTCCTAAGCAATCAGTCTAGAAACCACCAGGTGAATGGCAACCAGAATTTAGCAGATTTGAATGATTCATTTGACCCACTGCAGCAAAGCCTTCCCCCTGCTGGCCTGCGCTCGAATCCTATCGAGGCCGCCGAGTCCATCACAAGCGGGTCAACTAAGTTGAGTTTATCATGTAGATGTGGACCAGACACATTGTAAGGGACATCCTATAAAACCACGTCTCATATCCTTCTATAATATTTCTGACCCAGCATTATTGTAAACTTGTGGTTCTGCTGTTTGTCGTGAAGGTTGGCCACTCACCCCTGCAATCATCTCTTGTATTATGGAGGACCTAGGGCAGACCGAAGGGCTCTAGGTGGCCACTTGGAGAGAACGTATAAGAATCTGCCATTATTACCTCCACAAAATTGAAATGACGGGAATTTGACTTCAACCGTCAGTTTTCTAGTTGTGCGAATTGATCAATTGTCTGCGGCTTTGCTTTCCCTTTCTCACAAAAGTTCGCTAAAATGTCTACTATCTTCCAATAAGTAGTAACTTAAGATTCAAATTATTTGTATTTAGAATTCAAGGTAAAGCGACGTTGGGACGACGACGTGGTTTTCAAAAATTGCGCCCGCGGAGAGGTCGATCACACAAAACGTGGATTTATTAACGATACCTTGCGCTCGGAGTTTCACAAAAAGTTTATGAAGAAGTACATCCAGTAGCTTGTTGCTGTTTCCTGTGAACGTCGCCCGCCCGTTCCCTTGCCCTTCACTTTGTACATTTGGCCCGACTATGTAAACTAAATAAACCCTTTAATCTTACTACTTTTTGTCGTTTTCCTGTCTCGCTAGCTTCCACTTCTATTTAAGAACTTGAGTGTAGCAGTCGTGTTAGATGTCTCATGAGTATTAACGTCAGCTGCCAGAGACCCAACTTAGTGTGACCTACAACTGTATTAGTCAAACTTTTATCTGATGAAGCACTGTGCATTCTTGTAGAAAATGAAAGCACTGCTTAAAGTAGATTGGGAGTAGCGTTCATTAGCCGATCCTGATTGCAGTGTAATACGAGCGTCGTGTGTTGTCTGGGAA